GTTGATTGGCAACAATGTGTGGATGAGTCGGATGAGCGGCGCCAGGATGATTCGCAAGAGGATGGTTTGATGAATGGAAAGGACCAGTGAAATCCATGGAGGCCCCTTTTCAGGGGCTTGATGGGGAAGAGCCTAAGGCTTAAACCCTAGACCTCAAGTCACGAGCCCCACAAACCTTGGTGGGGCCAAGCGAATTTACTGGATGTAGTCCCCCTTAAGTAGATAGAATCTGGGGGTTTATATTGGGATAATGGAAAAGAAAATGGAAACTACTATTTAGATTTAGCTCCCCTAAGTCACATGGAAACCCATGGAGACCTCTCTGTTTCAGACGCGGGATGCACGGGTTTCATGTGTTTGGGGGAAGAATCGAATTGCAAAAGACTCTGCTCGTGTCGTTCTGACTTGGGAGGGATGGGAAGGAAGCTTCACACAGAAACACCAAGAAATTCGCCTCTATGGGTATTTGAGGGTTTCCCAAAATTAGGGGTACCTTTTAGGGTTAGTATTTCGGGGTTTATATGGGGGTCCCCCTACTTGGGGAAAGTATCATTTGTATATACGTCCAGGTTTCTGAAGAATATGCCTTTTCGAGAGGCTTCCAAATTCTCCAAAGCTGTTGGGATGCGTTCTCCACTTGCTTCTACTTAAGGCAGAGTGTGCGCATAGGTCCCTACCGGAGCCACTTTGCAAGTTTCTAGATACCCTAAACCTAAACCCTAAACCTTTTTTCTAAACTGTGGTAGGTTACATCTTCTGTTCCAGCCCCTAAACCCTGGATTCCAGCTCCACTCCCCTTGCACCGTTAATCCTAAACCCGTATAGCTGCTATTTTTCTTTTCCATTCCCACGCAAGCGCCTGTAAACCTAAAACCCCAAACCTTGAACACCCCCTCAAAAACCCAAACCCTAAGCCCTCCGAGCCCTAAACCGAAAGCCGGAAGCTTGGGCCATAATCCCTAAATCTTAAAGCCCTAAACCCAAAAGCTCTAAAGCCTTAAACCCCCTGACCTAAAACCAAAGATTCAAGCCCTAAACCCTAAACCCTAAACCCTACACCCTAAACCCTAAACCCTAAACCCTAAACCCCATTGAGCCAGCGCGCCGCCTTGCGGCTTCGGGCCTCCGAACGTCTTTGGTTTTTTATTCCCTCCTCGAGGGTTTCGTGTTTTTTAGGGTCTAGGGTTTTTTAGGGTCTAGGGTTTTTTAGGGTCTAGGGTTTTAGGGTCTAGGGCTTGAATCTTTGGTTTTAGGGTCTAGGGTTTTAGTTTAGGATCTACGGCATTCTCAGTTTGAGGTTTAGGGATTTAGGGGTTTAGGGTTTCAGTGGTTGAGAGGTTTGTGGTCTAGGGTTGAGAGGTGCAGTGTTTAGGGGCTGAGGGCTTGGAATTGGTTTTTACAGGCCTTACGCCGAAAATTCTGTACAGGAGATAGATACGCGTTGTGTACGTGTTCAAGGTTTGTGTTTAGGGTTATAAGGGCATATGTAGGGCTTACAGTATAGATGAACAACTGGGAATCAAATGGAAAAGCAAAGGGAAATCAAATGGAGGCTGGGATTACAAAGGGTCGTAGGTAGGGTGTCAGGTAGTCGACCAGATAGGACAGACCCCGTAAGAAACCCTACTGTAACCCTAAATCCTTAACTCATTTAGGATCCAGGGTTTAAGCGGTTTAGGGACAGTCCCCTAAACCGGTTGTTGTGAGCTACTGCTCAGTAGCAGCTGTTGGTGTGTAAGGATCCGAAGTTACAGTTGTACAAAGCAGGTGCAGGTTAAAAGGTGAGGGTTTAGAGTTTAGGATTTAGGGTTTAGGGGCAAAGGGCGTATATTGATGTTCTGGAGAAGTTGTCATTGTGATGAATAGGAGTTGGAGGGGATGAGGAACATTTTTCAGGCTGCCAGCTTTCATGTAGTTGCACTCCCAACTGGCACCGTTTGAAGTCCGAATGTACTTGGCCCCCAAACCGTAGACACTAGACATGTTTTGGCCTGAAGTGGAGTCATGACAGCAATTGCTAAGAAATCCAAAGCCGAGCAATATACTATAGTAGTTTCCATTTCATTTTCCATTATCCCAACATAACCCCAATATTCTATAGTAGTTTCCATTTTCTTTTTCATTATCCCAACATAACCCCAATATTCTATAGTAGTTTCCATTTTCTTTTTCATTATCCCATCATAACCCTCATATACTAAAGCCCGAACGAGAAGTACAAGTTGCTTAGCAACTCTACGGACCTCTGAGCATGGTGCAGACCCTCCTGACTCTCAGCGATTGTCCTCCGTGGAAAACAAGGCTATTTCTCTCCTCAAAGGACAGTACTGGCCAAATGGCTTCGAGTTCAGGGTTCAGGTCTAGAGTTTAGGGAATGCTAGGGGCTATGATAAAAGGGCTATATTGGGGTCATATTGGGATAATGGAAAATAAGATGGAGACTACTATTAAGGGTTTAGTGTTTATTCAATGGTTTAGGTTTTAGGGATGGGCAGGGTCTACGGTCTGAGCTTCCGTGTCCAGGGCTCGGGTCTACAGGCAGGGCCAAGGCTGGAGCAGGGTGACTCTTGCTACCTTTTCCCTTTGGGACTGGGTTAGCAGCTAGTTTTGTTTCAACTTGCCGACTTTTGCTGACAAAGTTCGCTGCGATCCTCAGCGCTAAACCCCTCAAGCATCAGAGAAGGAGAGTTGTTGCAGTTTCGTCCCAACAATAACATGGAACGCAAGAAAGTTCAGTTAAAGGATTACTGTCCTTGTGAAAGGGGTCAGAATTGAGATCAATGCTGGCTTCATGTTTTTTGTCCAATGATTGCACTTGCCACAAGGCAAGAGAAAGAAAGCAATTTTTTCGGCAACATGTGGACATGTAAGGACATTTTCACTGCCAGTAGACCGCTCTTGCAATACACATTTATGACAGGGTTCCAGGCGAAGATGGATTGGGTGTAGGGGTTTGGGGTTTAAGATTGAGGGTTTAAGGGTTTGGGGTGTTGGGCTTAGGATAAGTCACATCATCCTAAGCGCAACTTTTACAGTGCTGCCATTGTCTCTGCATCTCTCTGAATCTCTTTATGGCTGCGCCATGTGAGAAATGTCGACATTTTTTGAGGCATCAGAGGGAGAGCCGCAGTTCATATGAATTTGCAAGCCTTCAATTCCCGATGTATTAGGGTAATATAGGGATAGCGGCGAACCAAATGGAAAAGAACGTGGAAAATGACATGGAAGCTGGGGTTAAAAAGGGGTATATATATATATGGGTTCATAGGGATTTTATTGGGATAATGGAAAAGAAAAGAGAAATTTCAATATTAGGGTTATATAGAGTTTAGGTTTTTGTTTAGGGGTTTATAGAGTTATAGGGAAGTCGCAGGCAAAACGGAAATGACTATTTCGGGTTAAGGGTTTAGTGCTGAGGGTAGCATGAGGTAGAGTCGCGAAGGGATTTAGGTGCAGAATAGATTTGGCTGTTCCATCTTCTGGGGTTCTGAAAAGCTCTACTGGATGCTTAGCCTTCCCTAAGCCAAAAAAAGCCTGCAGGGGTTTCGCATTGGGTTCCTCAAGATCAAGAACCTAATGTTTGGGGGAACTTCTCCAGAAGCAGGCAATACAGTCTTATGGCAGTTTTTCCAAATGATCCTTATAGTCATTCCCCCTTAAGTGAATAGAATATGCGGTATATGGGGATCTTATTAAGATACCCAGAGCTATATTCTATCTACTTAAGGGGGACTATACTCCCCATCATCGGAGAAGCTACGAGGGAGTGCGCAAGGCAAGTGGACTTGTGAAACACAAGCAAGTGCCGTACACTACCAGGGTTTCGGGATTAGGGTGTAGAGTTTAGGGTTTAGGGTTAGATGTTTGTACTTAGAGATTCTGTTGACTTAGTAAGTTTATTTTCTATCCAGGATGGCTCCCCATTTTGAGGCCCAAAAACTCGGATTGCTGCCCTAAACCCTCATGTCCTGGAAGCCCGTGAAAAAGCACGTAGTGTGGTAACCCTCTTACTAAGTAGATTTACTAAGTCAGGAGAGTTCAGAGGTAGAGGACATCTAGCTGTGCGGTTCTTCATTCATCTACTAGTCATTCCCTAAACACAAAGCCGAAAACCTGAAACCCCAAACTCCTAAAACTTCAGCCCTAAACCCTAAACTCAGAATTAGCTCCTCGCGCTATCGTCTCATCTCTTACCCCAATGACCGATGTCTTGGTTTGCGGTGGCGTGCGTATCCATCCTGGTGACTTGTTGGATGTTAGTCGGGAACGAAGGAACGGAAAACAAAATTGCAATTTTTGGTTTTATTTGAAGTATATAGGGATTACCACAAGTATCCTTTCCTCCATTCCCTATTAACCACCAGTAAGGTGAATGCACTGCTTTTGCAACAACTGTTATTGGAGAAGATTGGAGCTGATCCAGAGGTGCCGCAACAAAATGACACTGTGGTCACTACGCTGGCATCTGAGATTGCTCGGTTGTCTGCCCGGGACATATCTGACTTGGGACAGCTGTTTTTTCACCAGAAGGTCAGCGAGTTGTTGATGCCAAAAGACGTGCAAGCAGAGGTGGGCAACTTTTTCGTTGGAGCCTTCAATGCTGAAAACGATCAACTGGGACCCCAAATCTGCACAAGGGCATGTAGTATAGTCCTTCTCACTGTGCTCTCATCTTGTTTAGCCCAGGCAGCATGCAGCCACCTGATGTCAAGCATTTTTGGGGTAACGCAATTGTCAAACAGGGAAAGACAGGGGTATGTAGGTACATCCAGGGTTTGGGGTGTAGTGGCTTAAAAAAAAGATCAGTGGTGGAGAATCACGTGGAAAGGAAGTTCGACAATAACATGGAAGCTGGGCTTCAAGCCTGTTTTATAGGGATAAAGACTTGAGACGATGTGGGTAGGTAATAGGGCACATGTATCCGTCTTAGCTGCTTTTAGCAGTTCGGCAAGACTGCTCAGATTGGCTTCAGCAATGCGAGCTGGGAGAAGGAGAACCCTATGACGGGACTTGCTGTGGACATGCTCAGCGTGCATCTCCAACCAGAAGAAGCCGCAAATCAGGTTGGTTGGTTTGGGGAGCAGGGTCGAAACCTCAAACCTTAACTTTTTGACGGATATTTGGGATCAAGCATGAGTCTAGGATCCCCCAATATCAATGGCAGAATGACATTGCGCTGATGTTTTCTTGATCTCTTCAAATATTTTCTATTTAACCCGAACCCTTTTCTTTTTCCTCAGCTCTAAGCCCCTGCAACATGACAGGATCTAAGAGCTGTGATAAACACGGGACACGCAGTTTTGTCTTCCCCAGCACTTTGCTGGCTAAACGCGCCAACGTGCCGTGCAATCCTGGTGTAACGATACTGGTTGCAGGGACTGGGACCATCCTTGTGCGCAGCCCATTCCACTCGAAGCTAAAGCTGAAACCCCAAACCTTAAACCCAACAGCCTGACCCACAAATCCTAAACCATAAACTTACTGGTTCTTAGTAGGGAAGAAGGGAAGATAATCCTCATATAACCCCCATAGATATAATACATTTTCCTTACTCCCTACTAAGTAAGTACACTCAAGGGTGGCGGTAGCCGAGGAACCCATGAAAACTGCCAGGTTCTTTTTCGTGAGACGGTCTCGCGTTTGAGGGAGCGCTTGGACGAAGCCAGGTTGTGTTTAAGTTTTACAGGGTTCCCCTAAATTCATCATATTAGGAGTCCGTATACTGGAATTTCTATTAAAGTATGGTCCCTACAAATGTCCTCCTTTTTGGACAGTAATCTAGGCAAACTTCCACAAAAGGCATCAACTTAGGTTTATGCTACATTACCATGATGGGCTAGGAGTTTATTGGCTATAAGTTGGTTGAATAGTCTTATGGCAAAGCTATGTAGGGTAAATCGAGTGCGAATAAGCTTTGGCTCCTTTACACGGGGTAGAAGGAAAGGGTTTCTGGTGTTCTTGCTTGGGCGTTCCCAGGGGATAGTCACGGATAGTCGCCTCTTGGAGATTATCGGGCTCCCGTTTCCGCTTGTGGGTTTCATGGGCATTTTGGAGTTGGAGAAACCCTAAACCGTAAACCCTAAAACTTAAAAACCCCAAGCCCCAAACCCCAACAACCCGAAAACCCTCAAACCTTAAACCCTAAAATCCTAAATCCTAAACCGTAAATCCTAAACCCTAAAACCCTAAAACCCAAGACTCCCATCTGGTGTTCATTAGGGTTTAGCAGTTACTTGGGAATATCGCTTGAAGGGGCCTACCATGAAGTAGGGCATTCTTATGGTTGTGGCGTACCGAAAAGTCCATAGCTCGAGGGCAGCTTCAAAAGATGAGGTTTTAATCAAGAACGTCCATACACATAAGGGCTGTATGGGATTATTTGAGATGTATTCAAAGCTAACCTGGGGCCAGACCTTAAATTTGAATCAGCTTCAAATCTTGACAGCACAGGATCATGGAGTGGTGGTCATTCAAGGCCTTCATAATACGAAGGATTGCAGACTGGCGGCCAGGCGACATGCAGTGTTTCAGTGTTGGGGTCTGAGATCTGGGGTGCGGGGATGAGGAATGGTGGATGTAGGAAATTTTGTGAACTTCCGGCGAGCCTACCTGCGGTTCAACAGATGCAGCTCCAAGAAGTGAACAGCAGCCAAGTTTCTAAATGGGTGGGTCTGCTTTGGCCGGGACTTTGTGCCGAGAATGTCTGAATCTTGAGGTTGGTTCTGCATCTTGATGTACAAAGCCTGCGCAGCGCGAAGTCACCTGTGAATAATCCCTGGATGACCCCCTACGCAATCTCCACGTCAGCTACAAGCTACAGAGCCGTGAACCTTTGTGCCCTAAGCAAATCCACATGCAGTAGATTTTGTTCTTCTTGAAGTTCTAAACCCTCAGCCCTCAACCGGACCCTTCCTTTGTGACATAGCCAGGCATGTGCACAGTGAGATTATGTCTCCCTGGGCCACGTTCAGCAACATACGCGACAACAAATATCGCAAGGAGCCTTAGCGAGGGTTTGATGAATTCGGCAAATTATACCGTTACAGGTTGTAGTATTGGAAATACTGCTACATATGGTACAGCTACGGGTTTTGCCCATAAACGGTAGGCCAAACACACGTTTCCACTTCAGTTGGTTTACTAAGAAGATGTTCTTTTCAAAGTTTGTACACCCAAGCCTGCTGTCAGAACAACTGCTGATGATGTCAGAAGTGTTGTAGGTTTTGCTTTGTGAGTCATCGGCATTTTTGTGCAGAGAAAGATGCAAGGATCTGGCGCTACCCATGCGCGGGCACGTAATGCGGCTGCTGCGAAAAACCCTTTCTGTGTCCTGGCACTTGAAAACCAAAATGTGGAATTTTAATGTCGGGGCTGTTCAGGGAACCCTACAGCCTAAACCTTGTTTACGTTTTGGTTGTTTTCAATGTCAGCCTTAGGATGGTTAAAGGGCTCGAGGATGCTTCCAACATGATGCTGTTGGGAGCATACAGGGAACTGTCCTGTTTCAAAGGTTGTCCTTTCCGTCGTTTCAGGGCCTCCTAGCCTTTCAGGACTTTCGGAAGGTTTTCATCATTGCGTTGACAGTGCATTTTAGTAAACTAGACTACGCAATGGCCATCAAGAGCGCCTTCAATTTTGTTCGAGGCGTTGGTTCATAGTGGGGTCACGAACCTCAAACCCAAAACCTTAAAACCCTTTAACCCTAAATACCGAACCCGAAACGGTCCATTCGCTGGGGGTTTCAGCAAGCAAGCTGGCGCCAGTTGGCCAGGAACCAGTCGGATTTAGGGTTTAGGAAAGCCTAAACCCTAAATAGTAGTTTCTATTTTCTTTTCCATTACCCCTATATATTCCCTACATGACCCCTATAAAACCCCTATACAAACCCTATATGACCCATATATAATCCCATATAACTCAGACTTCATCTCAGTAGCTTTGAGCTCCTTGTCCACAAGCTTTGTACTCCTTGGGTTTAGGGTTTAGGGTTCCCTTGATTGAGATGATATTGGGGCCACTTGCACCCTAATATAGGTTATTTAGGGTGTAGGGTTTAGGGTTATATAGGCGTAATGGAAAAGAACATGGAAGCTATTACATATTTTTGTTATAGGGTTTTATTTCTAGCCCTGAGCTCCAAAAGCCTTCAACCACCTGAAAAGCTGAAGAATCCAAAACCATGCGCCCCAAATCTCGCAAACCCCTCAACACGAAGCCTTCACAGGATTTCGGTCGATCAGAAGTGTCCAACACGGTAGACGTAGACCCCAGAGCCTATACCCTAAATGCCACGCGCTGAACCCTAAAGCCAGAACCCAATCCCACCCTAAACCCTAAATCCTAGACCCTCAACTTTAAATCCTAACGGGCTTCAAGGTGTTGGCCCCAGTCTTTGAAGCGACACTAGGCCCAAATGCGAGTTTCTGGGTTACCGTTAAGGCAGGGTCTAGGCATTAGGATTTTAGGGTTTAGCGTTTAGGGTTTAGGGGTTTAGGGTTTCAGGGTTTAGGGTTTTATGGTTTGGGCTTCAGGATGTAGGGTTTAGGATTCAGGGTTTAGGATTTAGGGTTTAGGACTTGGGGGTCAGGGTTTACGATTTTTTGCTTGACAGGATCCAAAAACGGAACCTCCCAATCATCGATGAGTGTCCTCATTGTAGTACTGGGGTTGTTATTGGGGGGGTTCCATTTGGGATTCCGTAGGCCCTAAACCTAAACTCTAAGCCCTCAAGCTTAAACTCTGAATCCTAAACCGTAAGCCTTAAACCCTACATGCTAAACCTTAAACCCTAAATCCTAAGCCTTTAATCCTAAGCCCTGAAGCCTAAATCCTGAATCCTTTGGTGGTCTGGGATTGAAGGTTTCAGATTCATGGCTCGGGTAGATTCAGGTCTAAGGCTAAGGGTCTACGGCTTCAGACTTGAGATTTTGGGGTCAAAAATTCATAGGATCTCAGGTTTAGAGTTTAAAGTTGTAGGCTCCCCTGGCTGGATCTTGATGGGGGTAAAAAGGGATGATAGGGGAAGTAGGATCTCGGTCTTTGTTGCGGGTGTTGTTTCGGATTCCATACCTAAACCCTAACCACTATTTGGGTTTCAGGGTTTATTAGGTTTCAGAAGCCCTAAACCCCTAAACCC